TTGGACGTACGTTGAATATTTCTTGTTCGGTTCGAATGGAGGCAGTTGCTGTTGCTGTTGTTGTTGGTGATTTTTTGTTAGTGCATATTCATGTGTGGAAAAGCAATTCATTTGCAAAAGAGCTGTAATCGTACGCATGAAAACCCGGATGAATCCGATTTTTGTGTGGCAAAAAATGCGCTGCGAGATATGAAACAAAAAACGAGGTTTGTCATCACTCATGCAACGGCATTGGGAGAGCTCAGATAAAATTCATTTCGGTAAAATCAAAGATTTTCAGCCGCATGCTGGCAGTTTTCAGTCAACGAAGATGCGAATGAGAGACGACGGCCCAAGCACCAAAAGCAAAGGAAAAAAAAACACAAACCGAAACAATAGCTGAAAACCACTTGAAAAGATGCGCGGTGCGCGCGCTTGCATGGTCGCTTGCTTGATGAGAATGTCGGGCGCGCAAAACACAGCGATGGCAGCGGCGGCAACACAACACATACGGAAAAAAGCACACATTGAATCGTAGTGTCGGTGACGCTGTTGCTACCTCTGCCGTCGCCGCCGTCGTCGTCGTCGCTGCTATTGAATAACTCGAGTGCTTTGTCTTTTCTTGTACAAGTTTCACATTTTTCGTTCGTCAACTTGATTATCTTCCTTGTTCATGTGCATTCGATGCAGATTTACGGCGTGAGTGCAGTGCAATGGTTGCAATTATGTGCATGTGGTTCACTTACTCCTTTCTTTCGGATGCTTGTGTACTTAGCTAGCTGAACCAGTGAATGTGTTCATTTTCCAACAGAAGTAGCCACAACAACAACAACAATAAAAGCTGCAACGCAACACAAACGCTCACACCACCGCAATGAAAAATGTTAAATGCTTTGGCATCGAGAGAATAGTGCAGGAGGATTCATTGTGCGATAGGGGATCGAATGTTTAGAACCACAATCTTCCATCCGGAATGGAAAATTTTGCAAGCGTCGTAATATTATTTGCACAAACTATAGCGAGCAGCGGAGCAGTGTTGCTCTAAAGATAGTTGTGTCAATAGACGGTTGTAGGAAAAAATTGACGGCAACGGCACCGAATGATATCGTATAAAACAAAATGTAAATGCTTGGCACACGTGTACAGCAGCAGAAGTAGCACCAGAACAATGATGAACTGAGTACTGACAGCGAGATAGAAACGTGTAGGTTGCCTGTTCAGTCACATTCATCGCTAATGTCGATATACAAGCTAACTGAATATATATGTGACGCAGCACACGTACCAAACTGAATAAATGTGCGAATAGAAGAAGTGATGGAAAAAGGAAAAATACAGCGTCATAACATATTCATTGGCCATGGCTAGCTATTGCATTCATATGTTTGAACGAAGCAGAAGTGAAGTGGGAGAGAGAGAAAAGAGAGTCGGCAACTCAAAAAAGAAATAAAGAAAAACTGAAATTGCAAGCAAGACTGAATGGCCACGCAAACTGTTTAATGCATTGCAATCCATTTTTTTCTGCTACTGCGTGCTGCCTGGTCGTTCGCTTAGTAGCTTTCATTTTCGGTTGAACGATACACTTTTTTTTGTCACCATTACTTTCGTGTGATCGATTCATTTACTTATTCAGCGGTCAGATAACTTTCATTGTGATTTTTTTTTCTCATCGGTTTCATTTCAGAGTAATGTTTCGGTAAGTGATCGCTTCTCATGCTGAGCACATTTTCATTATCCATGTCAATGCACTCAGACATCAGTGCAATAATCTAATCATGCAATCTAAATTGTCTGTATTTTTTCGCAATGCAAATGAAACTTCCAATGAACTCGCCGTGTCTTTGTTTCGACGTCGACGGTAGTGGTGGCGGCCGCCACCGCAGTAACAGCATCCATGATTCATACAATTCTATGGACTAGAAAATGCCGTCGAAATGGATGAGACGAATCAAAATGCAAAATCAAATGCAATTATGGAAAAATTGTCCGAAAATTCTTCGGGAATATTTGAAATTCGCATTGAACTCGGCAAATTCATATTCGAATAGAAAATGGAATAAAAAAATTGACGGCAAATGCAAACGAGTTACTACGATCCAGATACACAGACAGAATGAGAATGTAACACATATTTAGCGCGAATTCATTTGGTATGCTAAATGCACACAACAACGACAACGACAACGACGACGACAACGACGGCATGGTTGGGAATTTTTCGTTATTCATATTTCTAATTTGTGTTCATTCTGTGCAAATATTTGAATAAAAATTCATGGGTTAAACGTGTATAGCAGCCAATTGCAAATCGAAATATCTCGCAATTCAAGTGTAAAATACTGTTTTAAATCAATTCCAATTTGTCCGAAAAGTCCAAAGCAATTTGAAATTATATAAACGAACGCAAAAGAATGCTCAGATGCGAAAACGCTTTTTAGTGTTTCGATTTCGTTGTGCGCCGCGTTGTGTTAAATTGGCACATATTTTTGATTGGAACATTCGAACGGCGAACATATGAACGCAGTAACAAGACATTTCATATTTTGTCACGTCAACACACGCAGAATGAGCAAGCGAACGAGTGCTCACACACTGACTCTCTCATTCACTCTTTTTTCTCTCTCTCTCTCTCTCTCTCTCTCTCTCTCTCTCTCTCTCTCTGTGTGTGTGTGTGTGTGTCTTGCAATACATTGCGGTAGTAAAATTTCGGAATGTGTAACTTATAATGAACGAGGTATCGAGTAATGTGATCCAATGTACTTGACTAAATTATAAATGATGAACAGCCATACGGATGGATAGCTTATTACGAAACACATAAACCAGTCAGCGCGCGCGAGAGAGAGTAATATCAGTTGATTCCTCTGACTGTGTCAATTTGAATTTGTGACGTCATTGCAAATAAACAAAAGCAGTTACATTGATTGAACAAGTGTTTACGGATAGAATTGATAGCGCCTTGAATCCGCATTTACGCATCATTATTGTTATTAGTATTATCATCATCATCATCATCATGCGACTGCCGTTGTTGTTGTTGTTGTTGCCGTTGTTGTTCATTCTCTTTTGTTTCATTCGGCCGAATTGGTAGAATCGAAAAAAAAATCGGAACCAATCGAGATGTGGGGAAAACCGCATACGCAAAGAATTCACTTCACTCGGATGAGATCAAATAGTTTTTTGTTATTTCGCTCTCCATATTAATTCGTATGAAGTGTCAAATAGTAAAATGCTTTGCATCAAATGTGCCGGAAATATTATAAATGTATGAATTTCTATCCTGTTGCTGTTTTTGTTGCGTTTCACTTTAAACTGTTGATTTTACGCGAACAGAAGAGAAAAGCACAAACAAAGTTGAAACAATGAGAAAAGCAAAGAAAAAAGAGACCGAGAACTGAAGGTAAAAAAAAGCGTGTCGCCTTGCAAATGAACGCGATTGAACGCGCGCACATTGCAGCAATTACAATTCCGAAAAGTTTTCCGTTTAATTTTGGGATTTCACAGAGGGGATATAACTTTTACGATTCTGTTTACCTGAATCAATTTTCGTAGATGTATATACATTTTTAGGTCGGTTAAAAACCTGGAGGAAGGCCCCATCCAAAAAGCAAATATGTATTGATTGAGTAACAACAAGTTTCAAAGACACGATTTTCGAGGCCAGGCCAGGCTAAAAGAAGAAGCGAACGATAGAATGGAAAAAGAAGAAGAAAACGACGACGACGAGAAAGAGAGGAAGAGACGAGAAATTTATTACGGAATAATAATAGAAAACGACGCACGATACCAGAGTCGCCTGTGACGCGTTAATTTGCACAGTCTGCATCGAGCAAGTGAACAGCTTATGCATACACATACCAAAGTGACGGGCTGTGAACAAAACTGGAAAAAGCGTACACACGAAAAGGGAGAGAAAGAGAGCGAGAGCAAGCGATTTGTGTGGTGATATGAATGCACAGATAGTACTTGGCATGTAGCAACTGTGAGTGAGTGAGAGCGGGTGAGAGCGCGCACCGAAACCACTCGGCTTCGCCCTCGCGTCCGTAGATAATGTATATGAAAAAGTGCGATACTTTATTATTGTTGCGATTTCAGCATGAAAGCACAAAACCATTGCGATGGATTCGCGGATATTCTTGGCACATTTAGAAGTTCTTTATTTTATTAAGTGAAATGTATGTGTGTGGATGGATGGATGTGTATGCGCTGAATATTTACGTTGTGGGTGAAAGCAAAAAGCGTGTGCCGATTGTATTATCATCATTTATCACCCAGCATTCGAGATATTCGTTTCGTTTCGTTTCATTTCGGCGAGTGGTGCGAGGTGTGCTTGTTTTTTTCCCTTCATTTTGCTGATACAGTATTGATATTGAAATGCATAAGCCAAAAACTTATACGACCTATCAATTATCATTTTATCTCGATTAGCCATCGAAACATTAGCACCAATGCCTGATTCGACAACTTGTACATGAATCTCTTGTGTTGAATGTTTACAGTTCTCGCTGTGTCATACCTCAATATTTGGTTCGACATCAAAACAAAAGGCAAACAAATGCGAAGAGAAAAAAAAACAAAAACAAAAATGAGTTGAGAAGAAAAAAAACGAAGAATCGACATTAATAGCCACGCTAACGAAAGTTAATAAACAGTAGTGGTGAGATGAACTGTGATGTGTTTGGCACAGAGCACGCTCCACTAAATATATGACTCAATATTTCTCTCTGGCCATCGATTGGCGACGCATTTTCGCATTCGTTATTTCCCATTTTATTACGTGTATATTCATTTCTCTCTTTCTTCCATCCACGCCTCTATCTCGGGAATCGGTTTTCACAATTTGAAATCTTCATCGAAAATTTAAGACGAACAGCAGAGAAAATTGCATAGCCATTGCAAGAGCGCAGAGAAGAAGAAAAAAAAACTAATTGCAAAAACGTTGAATGCCAGCACCATCGAAAGCGGAGCTGACTGGTTATTTTATAGTGGCCGTAATAATCGTAAATAAAGTGTGTACTTACTTTGGTAAATTGGCTAAATATCGACTTTGTTTCTCTCGGCGCACCTCGTCCGTTAGACGTGAATAGGTGTTATTAATGCACACGCTTCGTCGTAAATTCGTTTCGGAGTCCTTAATACGTTCCAATTTGTGGGCGCATAGCTGCAATATTCTCTTGCGTTCTTCGCGTAAACGTAATTTTGCCGATATCATGGGTACGCGCGGCCGTGTATAACGTAATGGTGATGTGCGAGGTGGTCCAAACATATCGGAATCGTCGTCAGTGGCATTCAAGCTTGTTGTCGGAAGTGTCATATTGTTTGGCTTTTCTGTTCCCTTTTTCTCGTTCGTTCTCGTTTTTCTCTTGTTGCCTCTTCTTTTCGGTTGTTTGCTGTTTTGCGCGCTTATCAAAACACCGTTTATTCGGTTGGATCCTTGCTACGGTTCTCGGCTACACACGGTTAAGTGTGTGTAATGAAAAAAATTTGCTTCCCTTCGAAAGGAGCTTCTTTATTTATGACTTTTTATCGCTTTACAGCCGTTGCACGGAAATTCCCACAGTGCATATAAATTCAAAGGAAGCGCCACTCTCTTTTTTTCAGTTTATTTTTCGAAAGAGTTTCGTTTTTTTGTTTGTTTGTTACTTTGGTGAATAGAAAAAAATCCAACTCTTTATTTCTAAAACTTAAAAAAAAAATTGGTTCATTTCTCAATTGTATTTTTCAATCTCACTGATTTCATAGAAAATTTGGAAATATTAAGTCATATTTTTTTTGTTTTGATTTTATGAAAAATTTCGTGCGCAGTCACGGTTGATTAACTCACACTGAACTCAATATGCTTGAATTGTCAGATTTGAATGGATTTCAATCGAGTGTTCTTAAGTGGTTACCACAACCGAAATTGTTTCATAGTTGTCGCGAGCACGCCGTTCTTCAGTGTTTTTTTTTATTTCTGTCAGTTTGCTGAAATTGTTTTTCATCAAACGAATAAGCACCTAATTATAGGCTTGACCATTTATTTCTTTATAGTCTTTTTTGTTGTTGTTTACATCAATCACTTTGGATTTGGCGTTTTGGTTGACTTGTTTTCGCGCACGCACACACAAACACCAACATCAGCACTTGTAAAATTAAAAATGCATTAAAATGGTTAGCGTTCATCGATTCACAGTTTTTCGTTCGAACGATATTTGCGCGTTGTTTTTCTTTCTTTCAAGCTACTGGAACTGTATTCAATCAACTTAGGCAATGTTTTAGCGTTGTTCAATCTCTGAGATATATATATTCGATCACTCGTTTCGAAAATGAAAAGCACTGTGCACGTTGATCGGTGTAAAAGCGTTATGTTAACAAAACATTGGATTTTTACTGACACTATCGGAAAAGTACACTTTGTGCGTTAATCACGTTTTGTTTTCGTCTTCTTTTACTTTGGCACAACAGCACACATTCAAACAAGTACAATAATATTCTTCGATAAACTATGTTTTTCCTTCGGTTGATGTTAACTGTTTTCCCTCAATGTATTCTCGATTGAAAGTTAACTTGAATTATAGTCGTCGACGTTGTTGTCGTTTGTGCGAACTCGATGGAGTTTTTCTTCTCTGTCTTTTCGGTTTATTTTTTAGTTTGTACAAATAGTGTGTATTGACTCTCAAGCAAATTCATTCACACAATTCACGCAATTCGTTTCTTCTTCTTCTTGCCTCGTTCACTGTGGCAGCCGCACAACGAAACGAAAATAATAGGAGATACAAAATAAATATAAAAAACAGCACACACAACGGTTAAGCACAACTATAAGAAAAAATATGTTAACCGTTTCACTTTTTTTTTTGCTTTTTGTTCGCTTCTTTGCTCTTTGTTGTAGGTTTTTTTTCTTCTCTTTGCTGTTAGATCTGCGTTGAGTTTGAGTTTGAGTTGTGCGCTAGAGAGAGAGAGCAGCTACTTGGTTACTGTACGTAGTAGTATCTATTTGCTACTTATGTTTCAAGTGTAAGCGCGTTGTTTGTATATTGTTATATAGCTGATTGCTTGTTAACGTGAACACGTACCACAATTGTAGCCACTTGCACGATTTATTTTGTTACTTCTCTCTACGCTCTTTCTCTTCTTTTGTCGTGCTTATTTTTTTTTTGCTTCCAATTGTCACACATGAGATACGCACTCGCACGAATTATTCGATTTGTCTATCTCGCTCCGCTTTTGCTGTTTGTCTCAAGTGCCTTTATGCTTTCCTTCTTTTTGGTCAATCGTAATGCAATCAAGAGTAATCAAATCACAGTCTCAATGCAAGAGTCTCTTTTTTTATATGGGTTCAATGAATATTGTACACCAAACTAAAAACCGTTGTGTTCATTCACACACACATAGACATTTGCATTGCATGCAATGTAATGGAAAAGAGCAATCATGAGATACGAAATCACTTTCAATAGTCAACGAGAGATACAAATTCATTCACTCATTTGTTGCCGCTGAACAGTTTTTCTTTTCAAATGTTCAACCAGAAACTAGGTGACCACATTTCAATGACAGTTGTTTGATGTGTTTTTTTCTTTAACGCTTTTTTTTCGCTTTACTTCTCTTCTCCTTTCTTTCAGCGTATGGATGGCGCAGCCACTGTTCTTCGGATAAATGCGATTTGCTTTTTTTGAAACGTTGTTGCTGCTATTTTTTTTAAAGCAATTTGTCACTTCGTATGCGCGCACTTATCTTTTGTTCACGTTTGACTCTTTTTCCACCAGATGATTTCACCGTTTTTTTCTCTCTCTTTCTTTTGTCTTGATAAATGCCAATTGGTTTCTTTGTGATCTGAACGGTTTTGTAAGTTCACTACAGAATTTCGAATTCTTTCGTTTAATTTATTTTTCTTCTTTGCCTCAAACCCGTTAATTTCGCTCGTGTTTCACTCGTTTCGATGACAGGCGTAATCAATTCAATATATCAATTGACCGGTATCACTTGAATAAAATTTCCGTCAATTTTGACCGTTAATTGTTCACTTGTAATTTGGTTGCGTATCAAAATATGAATGATTTTTATTGCAAAAAATTAATTGTATCATATAAGGTTATTAATTACACAATTAGGATCTGTAGCACTCGTTTCACCCACTTTCAATTGTTAATCGGTAGTAACCAATTTGTATTAAAATATTTTTAAAAAAAACGTCACGTACAAAAAAGGAAATTCCTCTTGAAGGGCGAATGTATCAATAACACTGTTGATTTTGATTTTTTTTTTGGTTGTTTGTTGTTTAAAAAAAAATATTTTCGTGGAAAAAACAGTTGGAAATAAATGAATGCAGCAAATTGTGTTGATAGAAATCAGTCCTTTTGTTATTTTGACGTAATGGTTTATTTCGTTCAAAATCAATTGAAATTGGTTTTGCGTATGAAACGAAGTAATTGAGAAGGTTTTGTATGTGATTCAAATAGATTTTCTAGTGAAAAGTCTCGGATAGCGAGAGCGAACAGCAAAATAGGTGTTCAGTGACGGCACGCTAGCTTTGAACTGTTTGCATGAACGAATCGTGCGATGCATGCCACCAATTCTATAAAGATCGGTTCGTCGTTCGACACCGACACCGTAGCCTCGTAAACAATTCTCCGTTTGGTGTAAACACATTCGCACACATACATACGTGCATCGAGCAGTGACGCTGCGAGCGGCTGACTATGTGTTTTGTTACGCACTTCATTTGAAGTTCAAACCGTATTGTTTACGTTTTGTTTACGGTGCTCTCTCTCGCTGGCTGGCTGGCTGGCTGCTGTGCAGGGGAATACGGATCGGATGTGTGCTACTTGCTTCGGGTGAGTGAGGCGAAGCGAAAAGAGAAACGGCAGAAAATGAGAATCGGAAAACAAATTTATGTTTATGAGTCAAACGTAGCAAAACAAATGTTATTGTTAAACTTCTCCTGCGACCGCATGAGGTGCAACCAACGCAATGTCATTTTTCAGTGTGCGACCGAACAGATTTCTCCAGTGTTCGTTCCGGCGACGTCGACATCGCTCCGTTCGATGGGAAAAAAAACGGGGCAATCGATATCGGTTCGGTTAAGCGGCATTAAATTGTTAGCGGAGAAAATCCATGAAATTCTCCTCTTGCAATGATATAACCAGTGGATTTACACGCTCATCGGATCGCAAGTGGAAACACGAATGGGAAAAAAATGGCATGACATCGAAATTGAAATCTCCGAATCTTGTTGAACACATCAATCGACGTCGGGCACGATGTTCTCCTGCAGTCAGTTGCTTGTGTATGCGATTCGTTTAACTGAAATATCAACAGCACCACGTTAATAAACAACCTGATGACGGTGGCACACCGCTGAATACATCGAAGTAAGACCTCGGCGACGCAAACACTCACGCATACACACTCACACACGAGGCAAAGAGCGACAGAGACCGAACAGCACCAGCAGGCAATAGCCTGAGAAACAAATATGGGAAATAAATCGACGACGAAATGTTTCATTTGAATGCGGGAAATGGTTTTGGTGTATGTATCGCTGTTTTGGTTATATGGAGCGCACAGCAACTCCGTGCATTGTGTTTATGTATGAAATGAACCAAACGGAGTAATGTGGATAAAGAGAATACACAAGCAACAGAGCAAGCTGTTCACTCTCTTTCTCCCTACTGCTTAGCCGTACGTACACGGTGGGCAGGCGAATCGCTTTAATCGCATTGAGAGCGATTTTGTGTGCGCGCTTACAACAACATCTATCCGCTCGGTGGTATAACAAACGCGTTTTATTTTCTGTATATTTTGATACACATATTGCCACACATATTTGGCGCGGTGAATAAACATATACAATCAATAGGAATGAGAGTGAGAGATTTTATGGTGCGGTTTTACCGTTTGAAGTTAGTGCTTCACTGTGTATACGCTATGATGATATGTTCTTTTTTCGCTGCTGTCGCTGCTGCTGCTGCTTCTCTCTTCTCGGCTGTTGTTCCCTCAGTGAGTTATTCTCTATGTCGGTTGCTCTGTTGCTCTGTGTACTCGATGTGCTTGCCATTATCGCATGAAAATAGAATCAATCTCTTTAATATATTGTTCATGCTCATGTATGCACAGTTTTTTTTTTGTGTGTGATTCGCTCTTTCTTTTCTTTGCGTCTCTTCTTTTTGCTGTACAATTTTTTTTCTCTGACGATTTGTATTTACTCTCTTTTTTTTCCACATAAATTCAGTTTGAATTTTTTCCGACTGACTCCTCGCATTGATCGTCGAAATGGAATGAAACGTGAAAATAGGAATATGAAAAATATTTTTAATATTCCCGAAAATCTGGCTCAATGAATCAATTCGTCAATAATTTTTCCTTCGCTGAATTTTCTTGCAAAACTCCATTGTGCGTACATATTTGCGTTCACAAATTTCGAGTTCAGCTGTTTTATAGGTAAATATAGCGTGAGAAAAAAGCAAAATGAACGCGAGGGAGAGCAGCAGCAGTAAAAACAACAATCGCATCCCACAAATATTTGCGAATCAGTTTATTTGCTTAATTTAATCAATGATTTAATAGCGAATGTCGTTCATGGGCAAAACGTGTATCATTCTCGGAATTGCCTTGAGTCGGAGCTTCTCATTATTTTTTTTTATATTTTAAATTGACTAGGCATTTTGCTTTCGATTCAAGTAGTAAAACTACTTAACAAATCATCTAATATCATCAGTAAATAATTAATTTCAGCCAACAGCGGAATAAACGGACAGACACCGTAGCAACAATACATATAATTCGGTAGAGAGGAAAAAAAAATTACATCAAATGGCTAATGAGCAAACAAAAACAACAACAAAAAATTAAATTAAAAAAAATATGGGCATGAAATTAAATGTATTATTTTTTCTCTGTGTCTCTCGCTCATTTTATATTTTCTTCGTATTCAGTTGAAAATTGTTTGCATGTATTCAAAGTCGACCACCATTCACGGTTGTGTCGTAAACACGTGTATAGTGCGATTAGCAAACGAATCTGTATGATATAGTTATACTTTTATTTGGGTTTTTAACAGTAAAGTGTAGCCGAACGCTAAAACAGACGTTTATATCTTTATGCAGAATATTACGGCAGTATCACATTGCTCGTTCGTTCGTTAGCTCGCGCGCGCTCTCATGTCCACATACACATAAGCATAAACGGACGTGAGTTCGTATCGTTTGATGTGTCGTCGCTGTACTCACTCACTCACTCCAAGTCCAAAAACGGTGAGTATTTGCGTTCGCTCACATGATATTCGGTGTATATATGTATATATATATATATATATCACTTGTATTGCAATTGAATCCATACGATCGTCCGTCAAGCGAATACATTCAGTCAATTTTTGATTCGATAGAGACGCACTCGGGCTCCGTATGCTCGGGACTCGTGCGCTTTAACACATCGCGTGTACACAACGATGAATATGTGCTTCGTTTATTTATTTTCTCTCTCGTCTCTCTGTTGGTTCCGCTTCTCTATTAAAACACATTTAAAGAGCAAAATGTGCGAAGATGAAGAAAGCAGCACCGAAACGACACAAAGGCGATGTGAAGACAACAGAACGAAGCGAAACAGAGAAAAGACAGAAGAAGAAAATACACACACGATATCATATAAACAAATTGAAACGAAGGATAGGCAACAACAAAAAAAACAGCTGTCAATGATTTTGTTTTTTCTTCTGTTTCTTTTACACGTTCCACACAACGAATATGGTTGGTATGTGCGATGCGTAGTGCCATACATTTCGTCATTTCGTATATCTGAGTATATGGTCTTTCTCTTGGTCTCTGAAAGCCGATTCTTCGAGCTTACACCTTTATCTCTCATTCATTGAATTGCTCTTTGCTGCGAACTACATTTAATATATTGGCCTCTTCTCCATCGTACTGTAGCTACACGGTCACTGTTATTGTTGTTGGGTCGTCGTTGGGGCTGTGTAATGATGCTGTCGTCTCGATTTGTATTTTACATGCATTAGCTCTAAACGACATTCAGCATGCAACCAACTCAAATACTTCATAATTATCAGCGTTTTATTTTCCTTTTTCTTTTTCTTTTCCACCGATTTTATTTGATAATCGTAATCATTGTGTGTTGAGAAACTACGGCAATTACGTATATACGTATAACATGTCAACGTCTTGTTGGTCGCATTTAGCTCAACAAAAAAGCTAAAATGTGTCGTATTCTGTTCTACATTTCGGTGTTTTTTTTTCGTTCTTCGTCGTTCATTTCATTTATGCTGATAGACTAGCGAAGCAATCGCCCCTGCTTCAACAGTCGCATATTCGGCTAATATATGTAAATCACAGTGACGAACATCACGGTTGTCATTTATCTATAGCCATTTCAAACTCTTTAATTTATCTCTGTTACGAAGCGGTTAAGCTGTACATGCGTGCGCTGTACGAAACGGACTCGTTGCTAACATATGTGAGTGCGACCAGAATAAAATATACATCGCTGTATGGCCCTTAATAAAATACATATGTTTTCACTCCGATATATTTATTTATTCCCTGGTTCATTTCTTTCGGGTTTTTTTCCTCTTTTCATTTTGCTACTAGTGCTGTGCTTCTTATTCTCCCTGATACGATTACGAATAATGTTCGGTTGTGTATTATCTGCGGCTGCTGCTGCTGCTGCTGTTTTTACTATTGCCTGCCGATGTGTATTTTCTCTGTCCCTCCTCTTTCACCGATCATATGGCTTAACAACAGTTACGTATAAGCTGATTGAAATGGCAAAGAAACAACGCTCATATAACAAGACATGCATGCATGTGTATGTGCGAGAGTTATTGTGTGAGTGTATGGGTGTGTGTGTGTGAAAAAATTGTGTACTATTTGTTATATTTTGCTATTATTTTACTGAAATCAGTGAAATTATACGTATTCACGCATCAAAACATAAGTGAACACAATTTTTGGTTTGAATGGCTTATAAGAGCGATGACGACGACGACGACGAATGGATAAAGTGAAACCGTTTTCCACCTTCTTTTTCACTGTGATGCTATTCTTCGTTCAATCTTCCGCTCTTTCTCTCTTCCCCCAAATAATCATCATCGTCATGCTAACCGAATCGCATTTTGCCAGTGTCCTTTGCTCCCGCACGGTTCGTTGTATGGTGAAGCATAGCACACTGAAGAGGGCTCTTCGATTCAAAAGAAAACCCGAAGCAACAACAAAACACAAACTCATAGAAAACTCAGTAAGTCACTTCGTGTTCGTACATAATAATTTTTTTCTTCATTCTTCTCTTCCATACCGTCAAATTTTATGGCGTAGCTGGTCGGCTAAGCGCGCAGCTCATTCCTGCCGATTTGATATATATGTGTGTATACGTAGCCGCTGCTGTCGACGATTTTATGTGTATCCACATCCACACACAGAGTACACACCAATTGATTGATATGTTTTATTATGTGACTATTCCTCGCTTACTGTTGATTTATACACAATTTTTTCTTCTTCTATTCCTGCGCTCTCATTTCAACGTTTTTCTATCGTATTTCGGTGTGTACTGTCATTTGGTTGATTCTC